CTGTTTCTGCTGTGATGTCCGCTATCGGGATGGCTATAGGGAATCTGGTAAATCGATCTATGCATGTAAAAAGATAATTAAAACCGTTTGAACGTGGTAAAGGACCTACCAAGTCGATATGCACATGGGCAAAACGTGCATCTGGTTGCGAGAAAACACCTATGGGTGAATTTGTGTGACGATTAATCTTTGATTGTTGACATGCTGAACACTCTCTAACCCATTTGTGTACATCCTTCTGTAAATTCGGCCATATATATCTGGCATTGATTAGTTTAGTTGAAGCTTTTGCGCCAGGATGAGACAAAGAATGAAAGTTATTATATATCAACTTTCGCATACTTTTGGGAACGAAAGATCGCGGAATTGGTTTGGTCGTGTCACAGTAGATTAGAATACCATCGACAGGTGATGGGAACTGTTTTAAATTAAGACTTGAATTGTTTGTTTTAAGCAGGTTTTGTAATTCTAGATCCTGCTCTTGTTCGTTTTTCAACGTCTCGAAGTTTACTGTGGACTGTTGTAGCACGTTCATTTCTAGCCTAGATAAAGCATCTGCCGCCTGATTGTCCTGACCTTTGACATGTCGGATATCGCTTGTGAACTGTGATATATAGTCAAGGTGTCGGACTTCTCGAGGTGAGTATTTATCAGCTCTCGCTTTTAGTGCATTCGTTAGTGGCTTGTGATCCGTAAAGACTATAAATTCCCTACCTTCTAACATGTGTCGGAAGTGTTTAATGGTTAGGTAGATTGCAAGAAGTTCTCGCCCGAAGGTAGAATACCTTGTTTCGGCTGGAGCGAGTCTTTTCGAGAAGAAAGCAATTGGTTTCCAGGCGTTTTTAACCAGTTGGTTAAGGGTACCGCCTACTGCTTTATCTGAAGCATCCACCATCAAAGCAAGTGGGGAAAGAGAATTCGGATATATCAACGTAGTTGCTTCAGCCAGTTTATCTTTAAGCTGTTTAATAGCTTCGATGGCGTCAGAAGACAGTTTGAATTCTTTTGGTTTTCCTTTAAGTGAATCTGTCAAAGGTTGCATTAATTGTGCACAACCTGGTATGAATCTGCGATAAAAGTTAATTAGGCCTAGAAAACTTCTCAGTTGTGTTAGAGAACTAGGTACGGGGTATTGTTTGATGGTATCCACTTCTTTTTTGATAGGTTTAATCCCTTCTGAGCTTATTGTGTGACCGAGAAATTCTAAAGTTTGAACACCGAAAACACACTTACTTTGATGTATGTTTATTCCATGTTCATCCAGTTTTTTCAACACTGCTTGTACATGCTGTTCGTGTGATTGCAAATCGGGACTGGCAATTAACAAGTCGTCTATATACCCCTGCGCAAATGGCATATCTCGAAGTAGGTTATCTATGAATCTTTGAAATGTCTGTGCCGCATTTCTCAGGCCGAATGGCATGCGTACAAACTCGAATAAGCCAAAGGGTGTAGTAATAGCTGTCTTGGGAATATCTTCATCAGCCACTGGGATATTGTGATATGCCCTGACTAAATCAATTTTAGTGAATATTTTCATACCCTGTAAACCGTTGGTGAAATCTTGGATATGAGGTATTGGGTACCTATCTGGTACGGTTTGACGGTTTAGGGCTCTGTAATCCCCGCACGGTCGCCAGTCACCTTCATTCTTCTTTGGGACCATATGCAAAGGGGATGCCCATTGACTATCAGAGGGACGGATAATACCCAATTGTAGCATATAATCAAACTCGGCCCTAGCGATTTTGAGCTTATCTGGTGCTAGTCTCCTGGGTTTTGCAAACACCGGTGCACCTTCGGTTTTGATAGTGTGACTCACTTTTAGTTTGTCTTTGGAAGGCTGTGGGTTTGGTTTAGTTAAGTTTGGAAATTCCGCGAGTATATCTTGGAATTTCGCTGTTGTTACTGGAGGGGTTTGAATCAAGTTAAGAGAGCTGATGTGACTTTCTTTGCCTTTTGTGTAATACGAAGTTTCTTTTAGTGTTAATCGCCGTTTCTTGGTGTCAACTAGAAATTCGTATCTCTCTAGAAAGTCCATCCCCAGTATTGCCAGATCTAAGTCGGCTACCGTGAAAACCCAAGGAAATTGCCTCCTGAACCCCAAATCTAGGGTTAAAGTTTTCTGCCAAAATGTAGCAATTTTAGTTTTATTTGCAGCTTGAAGTGTAATTGATGATGTTTCTCGACTAATCTCAGTTTTATTTTGAGGGATGATGCTAAGAGCAGCGCCAGTATCCACCAAGAAATTCAAGCCCGAGTTTCTGTCTCTAACATAAAACAAGCGACTGTTTAGGCGCCCCTCCTCAGTCGTCGCGACCTGGGGAGGGGTTACTCGTTTCTCGCTGACTTAGAATTATGCTTAGGCCAGGCGCATGGTTGCATGCACTTGGTTGGGTTGACACCAAACTTCCAGTGGTACCAACAAAACTGCCCAGATTGTCTGGACATTTGTGACCTGTTTTGTGACTTGGATCGTGGTCGTTGTGGTGACCTGCTCCTGTTTCTATGACCCATTTGCATTCTGGTGACAGCCTCAGTGAGACTCTTAACACTCGCAATGAGTCCTTCTATTACGGAGTCTTTTGCTGATTCTACTTTTTGTGTGTGATTTATTGTGCCTGATCCAGTTGGAGGACCTCTTTCCATTATTCTGTCGGCTATACGCGCTAAATGAGATAATGAGGTTTCAGGATCCTGTGCATCCAAACAGTGTTGGACGTAGCATGGGAGAGCTTGTATCCATCCTTGTTTTAGGACTGCTTCACCCACTGTGTTATCACCCACTAAGACTTGGAGGTGACGTAAAAACTGTGACGGCGACCGATCACCTAGTGTTTCACCTTGAAAAAGTCTTTGGATTCTTTGACCATCTGATAATGATAAACGGTTGATTATCTCTCGTCTTAAGATGGTGTATGGTTGTGGTGATGGTGGACTCAAAATCAAGTCACGGACTTCTTTGGCGACTGAAGGAGGAAGGATGGAACACAAGTCTCTATAGCGAATCCCTTCAGATTTGATATTGTGTCTCGTGAAATAATGCTCTAGTTGAGCAAACCACAACTCAGGATCACTACGATCAAATTCTGGAAGTCGGGATTTCGTAGTCATAACAGTGTCTATCTCCACTGGTGACAAATCCTCCAGATTATGGGTTTCTATTGAGTCTGACATGAGGTATGTGACAAATATAACAATAAAGTTAGCACAAAAAGTGGTTACTATAACACGAATAACTTAAGATAATACGGAATACACTAGTTATATACTCAAATTAGTTTACGGATAATCAGGTCTACTTTTACGATTAAGTAAAAAAAATGTTAATAACAGAAATGAGGTTAAATTTGTGTTCAAAAAGGGCCCACCAATTTCGTGCCTTAAAGTAACCCTCGTGCTATTGATAGAAGAAACCAGAGAAGTAGTGAATAGGTCTTTATTTCGATCTCAGCGCGGTAACAGTGGAGCGTCGGATTACCTGTTCAGACAAACGAAGGCTCTCAACATTCAATATAAGATAATAGGGAATATAACGCTTATACAAAACAAGGAAGTGAATGAATACTTGAACAGTACTGTTTTGGCATATGCTTGGTTGTTTGGGGTCAACTCTTAACCAACCAACCTAGGCTGTTACAGTGGGTACGATTCGTATCAGGTGTTACTGGTTAAAGCGTTGTCAAACTCTAAATTCATGTGGCATCTTCAATACCAACCACTTGGCTCCCCTAGGTATATTTGGGTTTCATATGTGTAGAAGCCCCTCCGGTCTATTTGAGAAATCTTTGAGTCGTTTGAACTTACTCTCGGAATATGCAAACTTTTGCAGAATAATGGGCCAAAAATGCCACATGTAGTTGGGGTTTGACAACGCCTTTGCGCGCAACACATTTATAATCGAAGTACGCCAATCAAATCAGAAGTCAAAAATAATGTGGTACAAAGATTTATTTAGAAGGCCATCGACATTTTTAGAAGCGTCTATTCTAAGGTGGATGCGTAGCACAGAGTACACACTCGTGATCTGGTGTGGATACGTGCCCGAGTGTCTTCATATAGGTGAGTCCAGTAAGACTGATGTGGTCAGCATCAAATGTCGAAGAATTACAGAACAACTTACTCTGGGGATTTGTTTACTGTTACAAGGCAGGAGTGCAGATGAATCTGAGTTCTTAGCTGGTTTACATGAATTACTAGTGCTTGGGTTTGTAGGTTAGTTTCAGAAATAGTTCTAATTTTTATCAGTTATGATAATAGTCACCAGTTTATCTTCGGTTAAAAAGCACTTCCGAAAACTGAAAGATCTGATAGTAGTTGTGATCCATGATTCACAAATTGAATGTATACAGTGACGTGCCAGATGCTTACAGCCTTTAAACTATGGTGAGTAATTCGTAGAGGCTTCCGAATTCTACACTTTACTAACCTGGACCGTAAAGCAAAGTGCTTTACACAAACAGACACTTTATGTGTGCTTTTCAGTATTCTGGGACTATCAAGCTTCCAACGAGTAGATGCGAACTTAATACCAAACCTCAATATTCCCAAAGTAGGGGGATCTAAGAGTCAAAATCTACTGCAATGATTGTAAAAAACGAGGCGATCTAGTGTTGTTGATCAGTATTTCAAATAATGACTTGTGTACTTCAAAGTCACACATTCCGTTACATTTAAAGAGAATCATGTCCGGCCACACCATATAATTTAACAGTCTAGTGGTGGGATTCCATTTTTCCCGGAGTAGCCAATGACAAGTGGAATCAGCCTAATGGGCGGATATCTTCGAGTAAACCGTATCTTTACAGAAATGCTTACAGCAATTGCCAACATTGGTCAACTGACTTACCATCCTTAATGATAGTGATTGAAATAATAGGTCGCAGATTAGATACTATGCATTACCTACGTCTGGAACCATGAATAATTAATACTGTTGCAGACAAGTAAGGTTTTACTTATGGAATGTTTGAAAGCATTTCTGGCCAGAACTCAATGAACTTGAACCTACAACAACCTAACTTGGTTTATTGGATATTGAACAGTTGACATAAAAGCCACTTGAAAGTTCGGCTATTAGTGGTCTCGTGTTTTTTCTCACCATCCATTTTTCGCCTCTTTTCTTGTACAAGAGGGAGTTTTAACAAGTTGGTTATTTATCTACACGAAGCCTCTGATATAGTTCAAATGGCTAACTTACAATTCTGTTATAACAAGGGATGTGCTCAGAAGTTCGATCCAGAAGAGAATTCGGAAGGTAACGGTCCCACTGGTTGTTACCAGAGTTCACAGATTCCTGTCATTACCATCCTGGAGAGCCAATCTTTCATGATGCCAAAAAAAAGTGGTCCTGTTGTAATAAGTACAGCACAGACTTTTCTGAGTTTCTAAGCATAAAGGGATGCGCTGTAGGGAAGCATAACAGTGTCCCTCCAGATAACACTGTCAAAGAAAAAAAATCTGATATTCCAACTAAAGTAAGTCATTAGTTCCCGCTAACAAGCTGTAGAAATGTTTCCAGGACAGAAAGTAGTGTGATAATACCTTGGAATGTTTTAAGTTTTGTCCCCATATCATTCACTGGATGAATTTTTGCAGTTTTAGGGAACACCTATTTAAGTCTTCACTGATAAGAGTAGGCCGGACGACTTATAGTAAACCTCACAATTCGTGGTGTCACAATTGTCTTATTGCTGTTTAAATATCTACACCGGGTGATTACAGTACGTATTCTGGTAGGGGATCCCACCGTTTCACGAGTCGGTGCGAAAAATGAAATCCGGAATATATGCATCCATTTTAGTGTTTTTGCACAAATATCTATACTTAATTACCAATTGCTTATGTTTCGGTATATGCTATTTACCGGCAAGCCCAAGATCACAATAGATTTTGCTTGGCTAACTTATTCGTTTGTGTATCATTTCTTCAGTTAATAATTTTCGAATTTATACGTTTAATGTTTTACGTACGTTAAGGTCAGCGTAATACAAGCCGACACAACAATGCTTTTGTGTTCTGTCGCTTGTATTTTGTTCTTGGTTTCATTTTGGTCAAACCGATCATAATTCAAAAACACACTAGGAAAAAAATAGGTTTGCAATGTTTTAGCTCTACGTATAATAACCGAGGTTTGCTCAAGAGACATCAGTTTAAATTTTATTTGAATTAGTAAAAGTGCATGTTCATTGTTAAGTTCCTTGGGGAAGTTAATTCTGATTGTCGTGTTTGGGAGTGAAAAGATCATTTGTCTCAAGGTCTCCAGAAGAAAGCCATCAGTCTTTTTTTAATGGAGCTCTCGACACTGGACCACTAACATTTAAATCGAGGTCATGTATTTGTTATCCTATGAAATAATGTATCTGCCTTCGCCTAGATAACCAAGTAGCATTATAGTGACTATGATTCATAATCATCCACTTACGGATGAGGACTCACGCTTGTTTGAAACACTATATTCCTATCCGTACATAAATATTTCCGAACCATAAGTAGTGTTTCATATTGTGATCCTTAACCAGTATTCTTACAACCATCATAAATACGTAATTCGTCATCGTTGGAAGTAGATGACGTATTTAGTTGTCCTTTCACAGTCATTCAATTTCTTACACAGAATGTAACTAAACTACACCTATCTATTTATTTCCGGACTCGTTGGTCTCAGGTTTGGACGGTCTCTATTGACATTCAAGTATTTGTCTAATGTCTAATAATTTATTCAGGATCTTAGCAACATTGTCTCGTGTTTTAAATTTGATTCATTCGAAAATTTCTCATCAGCTATTTCCAATGATTTTTTTGTAGCCTATTCCTACACCTACTCCTGTAATATCAAAACCCGTTGTATCCCAAAGACCATCAAGTACCGAGCCCACACGTGATCTTCCAATCGAAGTTGCATCAAATCTTAAGTCAGCTCTGGAAGAATTATCACTAGATCCATCCTTCAAACCACTACAGAATTCTACAATAGAAAATAATAATAAAGGTTGGTTTTTTCATTATTACTATTCATGTTAACTTCATATTACGTTTATTAGTTCTTAATATCGCTAAGCTTAAATAGTACTTGCAGATGATCACAACTGGAGATCACGCACAATGATAGCCATTCGTCAACCTATAATTGAGTTGAAGTGGGGCTTATATCAAAAAGTCAGCTGATTTCACATACTAACTCAATATATCTTATTATTATTTAAACATAAACATTGGTACAAGAAGGCATCAAATATGTATGCGCCACAGAAATCATTTGATTGGTGTGAGGACTGGGATACTGCCCGGCCGTTCAAGACGAAACAAGTGGTTTTGTTAGGGGGCCACACCCCAAGCCTCTGACCTACAGGTCTGATCCACAAGGCAGTGGAGCAACGTTGGAAAACGCTGTCTCAGGGTAGCCGGTGACCAACAATAGGTTAATGTGTCTTGTTTCCTCGGGATCCTGGAGCCCATGTGTACCATTGGTTTGGAATTGTGGTTTTCCAACGCCCCTAAGTGGATCCTCCAAATCCACCAACTCGGTTACAGCGCCGGGCATTTGGTTCTCGTCCTCTGAATTTTGTAAACACCCGATCCGTGAGTAGGACTTCCCTGGTAGTGGCTGTGTGCACGTGGCCATATGAGAGCATTTTGAGAGGGAGAGTTGACTCTCCCCACTCTACCGTACCAGGGCATTTAGGGGCACTCAATATATCTAGGTTGTGTTTCACAACTGATGTCATTCATTCCTTTAGATTTTGCACGAGAGTAGACCAGTTTATTAAATAGTTTCTTGCACTCACGTGAACCTACTAATCCTGATAGTCTACTGTAATCAAAGTTTCATATTTAACTGTTATTTTCAGTTTTAATGTTAATTAAATTCACCGACAACCCGGATTATCTTACCATCCATAGTTGCCATGTATATTTACATGATTATAATATACCCAAAAATAAAGCTATGACCTCTTCTTTCTCCATGTTAGGTAGTCCTTCAATTGGTACAAATTGCAAGAACACTGCATGCAAACAGGTAAGTCTAGGTAATGTGTGTATATTTTAAAATGTTTAAATCGTATTTTTCAAAGTATACAATTTCTTATAATTATGGCAAGCTGATAAGCAAAGCTTTAACACAAATTATGACTTACAGTTAAGTTCATATTTAACAAGAATATTTCAACCACTCTTTTGGTTGCTCAGTTTTCGCGATACAAACTGTGACTTTTAATTTAGTTTTGCATAACGATAAATGGATGCTGTCCAGATAAATTTGCTGAAGTATGTCAGTGATTTTATAAAGTTTCCTTACACACATTTTCTATGTTGATAGAAAAACGTCCTTCGAAAGTCATGTTTATTCATCATACGACTTATTACGCCAGTGTACTAATATTTAGATTATTTCTACGGGTGTCGTATGGCTGAGGTTTCACAAATTAAATTTATTGGACACGCTGGGATTAATCTGTTCACGTTGAATTACAAAACTTAAGTTCTGAGTGATATTTATTTATTCGAACACATAAATATTGGTACAAAGGGGCACCGAATACATATGCGCCACATAGATCACTTGATTTGTGTATAGGCTATGGTACTGCTCGGGTACCCAAACCGTTTAGTGATATGCTCAAATCTCGATAAAAGCATACTCAAGACATTATATTTGGAAGTTGTAAATCAGCTAATAAAGTATAATTTCATTGATTGATCTGGTTTAAACCTCCATTACGCTTGTCAGCGCATCGTCTATCTCAGTGTTTATTTCTGGTTAACAGAGAAGTAGATTTAGAAGTTTAGTGGTGACCAAATCAATACATGATATTAGTCTATAAAATCATTAACCATTAGACCAAGCCTTATTGGAAAGTGCCGATTTCCTAATCAATAAGTGATGACCCTATGTGCTGCCATTATATTCTTTATTTCCCCTTAAATCTGATATTTTATTATTTCACGTTTTTTATTTCTGGATCGAATTCATTCTTTTCGGGTTATATTCACTGTGCTCGATCTGGTTTTCACTCGTGGTGTAAATGAGTTGTCTGTTGCCCAACCAAATAATGAGTTTACTAAGCAGCAGTTCACTTTTTTCTATAAAATTCGGACTAAAAATGGATATTCGTAAATTAATAATATCAGATCACATATGTTTTTAAAACATTGCTCGCATATGTTGCGGCGATCGAACGAGTGATCCTGAGCTTAAATGCAGGGTACTAGGTAGGGATGGCAAATCGGTTAATGTATTGAAATTTCATTGTATGCCCAACTACCACCTGTGTTGACGCCTTTTATCGGCTGTCGTAGAGGAGGTAGGTCAGAGGGAAGCTAGTAGTGACCAAATCAAAACTTGGGATCAGTCCATAAATTCATTGACATTTAGAATGAGTCGCTTGGTATGTTCAGACTACTTGGTCAGGGTCTGCGCAATCGTTGTAACCAGTAGTTGAACATTTTAGGTTATATAGCTTGTAATTGTTTTTGATGACTGACCGATTTACCTTTATTTAATCTTCGTTTGCCATGCTGACCAGCTAACGTTTTCTTTGTAGGTTTATACAGGAACAGATTCAGATAGTGGACTCTGTCTATACCATCCCGGTGTGGCTGTATTTCACGAAGGGTAAACGCATTGCTATCTCTATTTTTTATATTTGATAAACCTTTAAATATTTACGAGACTTCTTGTACCATGAAAACTATTTTACAAGTCCTAATCAGTGAAAAGTAGTACAAGTTCGTTGAAATTATAAATTGCTGAGTTCCACATCCCTTCTTCCCAATAGTTAAATGATTATAACTCCATTTTCCAGTCTTGTGACCGATTCTATAAGTAAAAAGATTAAACATTGGTGATTGTTTAGAACTAGGTCAGTCAACTTGTTTATATTTTCTTCGTACTAAGCACCTAAATTAGTCGTTAAAAATTGATTCTCATTATCTGATCCCAAGACTTAAATCTGAAGTGTTACACGCATGTTAAGCAGCAGTTCTTTTCAGTGTATAATCATTACTCAATAACGTATTTAAAACAACAAATATATAGGAGAACAATATTGTTTTCAATTATATCTTCACCAAGTTTTACTTCAATATACGGTAGTATTTCATATGCATATATAAAAAATACTTAGTCATCCGAGTCAGTTTGTGCGTCAGTCACAAAGTAGAACCTGTACGTTACTACATCAGTTCAAGTTGCCATAAGACAGAGATGAAGTTGTCAGGCCATATTCCAAAATGGTAGAGATAGTAACAGTATCAGTGGTAATAAGGAAGATTGTGGGTCAAAGATACGACTCGAAAAGAATACACAAATTAACGAAATAAGAGCAAAAGAAGTTATGAGGAATTTAGGATCTCAGGATTTGGGAGAAGACAAAGAATGAATGCACCCGCGCCATTGCGAAGGATTTTGAGTCATGTTATCCGATGTCTAGTCATTGGTTACGATAAACACGCGGACCTCAAACAGGCAGTCTGTACCTATTAACATGCTTAGGTCTTATTGTCAGTGACTTTATGGACTGATGACTTGTTTTCGTTTGGATGACCCTAACCTTTTTCCAGACTGCTCCTGCACCAGAAAACACCTCCCGTCGAGGTAGGTGGTGGTTGAGTGTATGTAACACACGTCCCAACCACCCCAGTTGATGTAGATGTAATAAATCATTGATCTGTTTGCCGTCTTTACTTAGTATTTTATTTCCAACCTAGGCATTGTTTACTTCGTGGTCCAAAACCACACGTAAAATGCTTTGTAAATATCTATGATTGAGTACCATTCCCCAAATGCCCTAGTACGACCGAGAGTAGAGATAGCCCGCTCTCCCTCTCGAAATTCCGCCCATCCGGCCTCCGACCAGGAATCTTCAGGCTCCTCTGTCCTAGACTCTCCTCCTCTCCAGTTGTTTCCGATTACTATCCATTCTATCGATGTCTACCTCCAATTCCGGACGCAGTGTGTTCTTTGGTCTACCTCTTTTCCTTTCTCCTTCATGATTCCTAGTTTGGGCTTAATTTGTAATGCAGTTTGATCATTTTCGTAATGTGTGTTCTACCCACCTCTTATGTCCTTGCCTAATTCCCTTCTCAGCTAGGAACTGGTTCTCTCCCACAGTATTTTGTTGTTGATGATGTTTAGTCTAGGGATCTGTAGAATCATGGATCGACAACTGTATATCAATACTTATACCTGTTTGATGATAGTTTTATTAGTTCTCCAAGTTGACCGATTGATAACTTCTCATGAAACTAGATTGTTGATACAAATCTACAGTGAAACAGATATCAGTAGTCTGAGATAGCTGAACCGGCTTTTTCATCTGATAAGATGACATGCTTATAGTCTCTAATGAATTAACACTTAGTTTAGTATATTACTATAAAGGTTAACTAATTAGTTTCAGGTAATAACGCTCAAAATGAAAGAATCGGTTAGTTATTGTGTTTTTTTCTTTAAGAAATGTGTTTATTTTTGCTTTATTTTAGACTGAAGTATTGGACTTGTTGTAATCAGAAAACTAGTGATTTCGAAGCATTCCTTAAACAAATCGGGTGTACTACAGGTCATCATAATTGGACAGTGGAAGTGAGTTCACAATTCGTATATTACTTACTTACTTACTTACGCCTGTTACTCCTCCTCGAGCAGCATAGGCTGCTCTCCAGCATTCTCCATCCAACCCTGTCCTGGGCAATCCTTTCCAGCTCTTTCCAGTTGTTATTCATTCTTTTCATATATGCTTATATTTACCGACGTAATGTGTCCTTTGACGTTCCTCTTCTCCTCTTCCCTTCAAGATTCCAAGTTAGCACTTTTCTTGTGATCCAGTTTGATAATTTCCGTAATGTATGTCCTATCCATTTGCATCGTCTATTCCTAATTTCTTCTTCAGCTGGAAGCTGGTTTGTTCTCTCACACAAAAGGCTGTTGCTGATGATATCCGGTCAATGGATGTTGAGTACCTTGCGTAGACAACTATTTATTAATACTTGTACCTTCTTGATGATGGTTGTAGTAGTCTTCCAAGTTTCAGGTGCATACAGTAGAACTGTCTTGACGTTCGTATTGAAGATTGTGACTTTGATATTGGTTGAAAGAGAGTTGTTTTGAGTTCCGTGTGTGTTTCAATTGTAGGAATGTGGCCCTTGCTTCGCTAGAAAAACACGCTAACAATTCATATATATATATATAAACTTTAAGTGGTTTTTCGTTTTACTTCAACTATTTCTTTCGCAGTAGCGATGCGTAAAAATTGTGCTCAAATTATGAAATATTAATGCTCTTTAACTTAATCGATACATATTCGACATAGAATAGAATCTTCACTTGAAAATCATCATTACAAAATGTTTGAACTATAATGTTGTTGACAGTCAAGATTGAATTGTGATTAATCTTTGTTCATGTGTGTTAATTTTTTTATGCGGATTGTGACTAGCAGCAAGATCCAGAATAGATGTTTCATCCTATTTTGAATTTTCCAGCCTACTTTGCTTGTACTCTATTGTTGATGTTCAAAATTCAATCCTAAAATGTTTACAATGGGATTGTTCAAACCTTTATCAATTATGATACAAATGTCATAAGCATTGAATTAATTAGTGACTACTGGAACTCATTAGTTCGGTAGATAACCAGTTGTTGTATTTAAAGTGAATGCTACTGTACTAGGTTCACGTCTCAGTCTAAATATCAACATTGGGATATAGGTACATACAGCTGGTGAGTCCTAAAAGAGAGTGAAATGCATATTCTGGATTCCATCGGTGATCAAAATCCATCTAATATATTTCATCTAAAAAGTTTCAAGTTTGTTACCCAACTTCCATGTGAATCTTGTTTTTTTTTTGTTTACACAAGGAGAATCAATTAGAAAATTGTATTTAGACGAAAAAGACTGATCAATTTCAGTCCTAAACATCAATGGAAAGATTCAAGTAAAACAATACCAAGTGAATTAAAAGCTATTCAGCTTTATGAAATAATAAAAATGCTTCTGAAGAATTCTGTCAAGAAAAAACGAATTAGTATTAATGTTTATAGACTTAATATACTACAAGGAAAACGATTATTGAAAGTATATTACATTTATCGGGACAACATACTGTGGGTTGAATAAACGAATTATATTTAAACATGTCGAGAAACTAAGATGATCTTTTCATTTATTACCTCTTATAGATAACTATCACATACTCAACATGGTTGAACATCATTAGTCACTGTTTCTCAGTAGAACTCCTGAAATTACATCTTGAAGTTATTTATTAGTGAGTATAAAACTCTATACTAAAAATAATAATTCGTTTATGTTAAACTCACATTCAACGTACTCAACAATAATAATCTATTCTCAACTCATAGTAGTACAAAAAATGACCAGTCTATTATGACTGCTAAATGCTCAACTGGTTTGTGGTTGGCACTGGGATCCCCTAATCCTGCGACGCGTAGTGAGAACATAAAGGCTGGTGATAAAGATTTATTTGTCTATCAAAATGATATACCAATATATCATTTTTTGTAGTGTAATTTACACACCGTCAATTTTGTATAAATAGAATTGAGTAGTATTGAAGATCAGTTAATCAATAACTTACTGTGCGAACACATATTTACCAATATTATACAGTCGATGATCTACAAGGAACAGATATAATGAATTAAGTAAGTTATATAATTCACAGAAGATTAGAGAAATAATAATTTTATGTCTCGCAATCTAATTGATTGAATCTATGCTCACTATATCACAGCATCCTGAACACTCATGAATTCAACTATTACAATATTACAATGTCTGCAAATCCCCATTTTGATACAATAAAATACTGATCGTATAATTTTGCAGTTTTATGAATTAGGTGACTCAATAGTCTGAGAATTCATTTTCCAATCATACGATGTCTAAAACCCAATTCTAACCCTACCTACTTCAATCTGGGCAATCGTTTAGTATCGCTTAATTTCACACTTATAGAGTTTGATTCGAAATCAACTACACTGATTTATACTTGGTAACAATAATTGATTTTCAACCAAATACATTCCCATGTTCGAGTTCTATTCCATCTATTTTGATTTGAGTAATTAGTTAGTATCACCTAACATTTACAAAGTTTTATTGAAAATCAATTGCTTGTACTTATAATCTTTAAACAAGTTACTTTAATCATTTCACGTTGTGTCGTTTTTTTTCTTCTAAATTTTATTTAATAATAGGATGCAAAATCTACAAATGCAACATTAACTCTTCAACCAAATACAAATTGTCGTTTTGATTGGTATCAATTTGGTGGTTGTGTTACATTAGATATTTATGCTAAAAATATATGGCCTGAAACTGTTTCTATTAAAGTTAATCAAATAGTGTTACATGTTTCATTGAAATTTGGTTTAGATTATCAAACATTTGAAAGAGATTTCAATTTATATGGTGTAAGTTATCGCTTTTCTTTTCTTTTTTTCCCCTTTTTTTTCTTTAATCTGTTTTTATGTTTAGAGAATTCAGTGAAGAAACTTCTCTTTTCGACAAAATCATTTACTTAAGTTGTACATTCGTAGTTATAGTTGTTTGGTAAGTATATTTGTCTATAGAAAGATAGAAAAGATTACATCATAAATTGATTCGAGACTCTTATTATCAAATGAGATTATGTAATAATCAAGGGGTAAGGAGAAGGGAGAGTCTGCTCTCATATGGTCACGTGCATACAACAACTGACAGGAAAGTTCTACTCACTGACTTTTCGTGGCGGGGGTGTTGTTTACGAAATCGAGAGGGCGAAAAGCGAATGTCCGGCGCTTTAACTTGGTTGGTGGATGGATGCAGAGGATCCACCTTGGGGGGAACCTTGATTACAAACCATTGATGTACATGGGCTCCAGTATCCTAAGGGAACAAAAGACGTATGAACCTATTGTTGGTCACTGGCTACCATGGGACAGCATCTCCTTACGTTGCACCATTACCTTTAGGTCAAAGGCGTTGGGTGTGGCCCCCTAGGAAAACTAGTTGCTTCGGTTTGGGGACCCGAGGCGTATCCTAGCCCTCACACAAATCGAATGATTTATGTGGCGCGTATCTGTTTGGTACCTCCTCGTACCAATGTTTATGTGTTGAATAAATAATAAGAAAGGGATGTAAAGATGAAAATAATTTCCGGATCAGAATTATGAAAGATAATTGTCTGATTGACAGATATGAAGTAAATCGAAAAACAAAAGTAATAATTTAATAGTTGAATTCATGAATCAATTGAAGCTAGACCACCATGAAAAAATTGGAAGCATTGGATGATCGTTTCGTCCTATAATAGGACTCCTCAGCAGCGTGTATCCACGATCCCGCCTCGTGAGACCTGAACGCAAGACCTATCAGTCTCGCGTGCAGGCGCTTAACCACTAGATCACTGATCTGACATCCAACGGTGTTAATCTCCAACTTTAACTAATTCACGAAGGTGACAATCATAAAAACTGAATAATCATTAAAAATTGTTCAAAGGTAACAGTTTAAAATTACAAAACATTAATTTAAAAAATCAATAATAACCACCAAAAAATATCGAAACATGCTATAAAAGGGAATTGGGACCAAGGAAGGATATGAGAGGTTGAATGTATCGATTTTTGCACTCGAAGTTCGGGCTTGAGTTGGTGGATTGTCAATGCCTCAGCAGTGTAAAAGATTTTTTCTAGGATTCTCTTCGGTCCAATTCCTTTGACTGTGTAGATTATTTTAAAAAATGACTCCTTTGGAGCGATGTGTCCATATTTGACTAAATGCTCTTGTATTGAAATATTTATTGTTTTGCATTCTCCTTTTAAAAGCCATTTCAGGTAGTATTCTGAGATGCGTTTGGAAAGTGATCGCTCTATAGAAATCATTAAATCTGAATTCCATGTTAAGAGTACATCGTAGAAGTAGCTCTTTTAGATAATGTTTTGAGATATAAATATCAAGATCATTATTTTCACTATAGTCACACATAATCAATTTATGTGAGAGGAACATTTGTAAAGAGAGAAGTGACATCCAATGAGACCATTTTCTTTGCATTTACATTGATATTTCTAATTGAGTCAACAAAGTCAAAGGAATCAAGAGAGTTGTATCGATTAATGTGATTTTTAACGGGTTGTAAAATATCAGCTAACCATTTAGCAATCAGGTGATATGGAAAGTTATTTATATTAAATATATGACGTAAAGTGACATTCTTATGAACTTTTGGGAGTCCATGTAGTCTTTGTATGACGGAACCCGATGATTTAAGATGTTCATACAGGTGACAATTAATAATAAATTCATCTTCCTTAGGATTTTAATTAACATCTGTTACGTTTTCTCAATTGCATCCTGTTGAATGGTTTCTTTGGAGAATTAGACAGGATAAGATAATATCGAAGATAATTAATATGATCCGTAAGGACAATTCCTGCACCGTCGTCTGGGCGACACAACACTAAATCCTGATTTCTCTGAATATCAGATAATTAAGATTTATGCTCTTTTGTGAGTAATCGACTAATTGTATTTATTATGTTTACATATTGATTACAACAGTCATCTCTATATTCTCCTCTTACCCTTTGATTATTGTGTAACCTCATTTGATAATAAGAGTCTTGTATCAATTTATGATGTAATTTTTTCTATCTTTCTATAGACAAATATATTTACCAAACAACTATAACTATGGATGTACAGCTTAAGTAAATGAAAAGAGAAGTTTCTTCACTGAATTCTCTGTATTTTTATTCAATAACATCGTTATCAATCAATCAGTTATTGAATAATGACTAATAATATTAGTGTTCGAGTTACTTAGTGTTTAATCAAATTCTAATGAAGTTGTTAAATGTAACTGTTGATCCTAATGATTCAACAACATCACATTGACTGTAATGTGTAATGAAGCATCAGATCTTTCAAGGTAGTCGTAGTTAATATGTTATAAGATTGATTACAGTTTATTTGTAGAATTGATTTAGCACTAAGAAATTGACAAACATCGTTCAGGACTTCATACAGATTTGAAGTCAATCATAAATGGCTTAAATTCACTTAATTATTATGTTTTCCGCAAAGAGGTGCTGATATCCGTTTTGTAAATAACAATGGGCATATCAGGAAACCTCTAGACCTACTCTATCCAGTATACAGTAGTCAAGAAAAGAGACCTTGAACCAACGTCGACATTAAGTTACGAATTACTTGATTTCAAAATGGAAGATGGTAGGAAATACTTAGATTATCCAATTTTCGTTAACAATAATTAGTTTTAATCTGTAACGAAATCCATGACAATTGTTTTCCCATTCATATTTAATGCACTAACCTTTGATATTATATGATTAATCATCATTGCTTTTAGTTTGCTAATTTGGTTGTATCCTAAGATCATGGTTTTTGCTATTTATGCAAAGTTGTGTAATTATAATTTTGTATTGTTTGAATATCAACCTTTTTTTCTGAGTTCCTAAGCTTTCGCTCTCTCTCTCTCCCATTTCACTATGGATGATTGTTAAGATATTGTAAATATGAATCACATAGATCCAGCTTTCATATTAGAAAAGTCTCCTATCTAAAACTACCTTATTTATTTATGCGGATGATATTGTCTTACTGTGCGATAATGCCCAAGCCATGCAATTCGCACTTAATCAGTTGACAATCAGTGTCCGTAGGTATGATATGGGCTTTGCACCTCCGAAGTGCAAAGTACTTCTACAAGGCTGGCAGGATTCTAATCCTGTACTCACCCTGGATGGTGAGCAGATAGAAGTAGTCGAGAAGTTCGTGTATCTATCTAGGTAGCTGCATAAGTGTTGGTGTTAGCGTGAGTGATGAGATCAATCCACGTATAGTGAAAGCCAGAGCGGCTTATGCCAATCTGGGCCACCTTTTTCGCTTTCGTGATGTCAGTCTGGCTGTAAAAGGTCGGATCTACAACGCATCGGTGAGAGCAGTTTTGCTCTATGCTTGTGAAACGTGGCCTCTTCGAGTTGAGGATGTTAGACGACTCTCTGTGTTTGATCATCGCTGTCTCCGAAGGATTGCTGGCATCCAGTGGCAATTACCTAAAGTGTAACTGATAATACAAAACAGAACATAATTGTTACTAACCATCTAACAAATATGATTTTCTGTATTTTATAGATTTTTTTTTCTCTATACTTTCAGTCTATAGATCCAAAACAATCTGTTGTTAAATTAATGCCATTAAAAGCTGAAATAATTTTGAAAAAAGCTGAACCAATATCATGGCCTACACTTGAATGTAAACTATTAGATAATAATAATAATAAAGCAAATAATTCAAATATGAATAACAATGAAGAAACAATAGAGAACAATTCAAAATGAAAAAAAGGATGTATTTCTATGCTTTATTACGTAACCAAAGGAAATATGGTTATTACAACGATGATGTAATAAAACGAGAATGTAATCTATGTAACTGATAAAAGTAATTCATCAATCTCTCATATATGATGTGAGTTTTTCAATTGTTAATACTGAATAATTATGAAACATTTTGTTTTTGTTTTTCTAACAAAATAAAAATGTTTGTTCGTTTGTTTTTTCTGTAATATATATGTTAAGTGAACTGATTCATTTGTCAGCAACAACGTAGAACATCATACGTACATACATCAGTTCAAGTTGCCATATCACATTAGCACAGAGATGCAGTTGTCGATTCAAATCCCGTAATGGTAGAGGTATTAAGAGTATAAGCAGTAATCGGAAAGATTAGGGCTTGAAAATGTTATTCAAGGAGTATAATCGAGTGAAATAAATTTGGAAAGCGAAAAAAAGAAATGGACACAAAGATTTCAGAAGATTGGAATTTGAGAGAACACAAAAAGTGGATGTACCTGTGCAATTGCAAACGATTTTGAGCCATGTCATTCAGGGTCCCTAACCATCGGTTGCTATCATCTCGCAGATTCCCAACCAAGTAGTCTACACCTACCAACATGACTCAGTCCACTTGTCAGTGACTTCATGTATTTGTGTCATGTCTTGGTCTGGCCGCCTCTAGCTTTCTTCCAACCTACTCCTATATCATTGAACATAGCACGTCGGGGCAGTCGGTAGTTGGGCATACGTAACACGTGTCCCTGCCATCTCAACTGATAAGGTTTCACTACTTCATCAATTGTCTTTAATATAGTTTTAAAATAAGATTATATTTGCAAGTACGAACATTTACTGATATTTGTTTCATTGGAGGCTTTCATCAAAAATCCAGTTTCACGAGAAGTTATCACTCGGTCAGCTTGGAGAACTAATGAAACTATCATCAAACAGGTATAAGTATTGATATACACTTGTCGATCCAAGATTCTCCAGATCCCTAGACTAAACAATAACATACCGTGGGAGAAAATAAACCAGTTTCTAGCTGAGGAGGAAATTAGGCAAGGGTATAAAAGGTTGATAAAATACACATTAGGGAAATCATCAAACTTTATTACAAAATAAACCCTAACTCGGAATCCTGAAGGAGAAAGGAAAAGAGGTAGACCAAAGGACACACCAGGAGGCCACACCCCGAGCCTGAGTAGGTTGGGGATTCCTGGTCGGTAGTCTATGCTCCATGAAGGGTAAAAGGCATAAGTGGGAAAAACTAACCGAAACACAAGAACATGTATGGGATTAACAATGTAGTTGTTAATGTGTATGGATAAATCTCAGTCATAATAATGCACAAATACATGCAAATTTAATTATCTGAATAAGCTCTTCCTTGATTAAACTTCTATGTCGATGGGATGAAATCTTTAGAAGAAAAGTGCGTTCGCCTACGAGGTCCTATGTTCAAGCCCCGTGTGTAGAGTAGTGAGTGTGCACTGCTGAGGAGTCCCATAGTAGGACGAAACGACTGTCCATGTTTCTAGGTTTACAATAGTGGTCTGGCTTAGGTCGACTCGTGAATTGAACTATGAGAAAACATTTCTACTCGGCACTTTATTTATTTATTGAAACTCATAAGCACTGATACAAGGGGACACCAAAATATATGGGCCGCAATAAAATGAGATTGCGAAGAGACAGAGAAATGGTGACTATAATTTTAGGAAATTAGTAGGATTTATTGTATGAGAGTGAAATAGTGATAATAGAAGATTCTGTTAAAATAATACAACCAGCAAGGATTCTTATAGCTACTCTTGAAGAAAGTTACAGCAAGATCGTTTCTAGCTTCTGTTCTGGGTTATGTCTGATAACGTCTCAAGCCACTGTGATGTATCATCTTTAGGACCCCATCATGGAGTCAGTGAGGAACAATAGATGACAGTCCCGTGCATGGCTTTCTTTCATACTACGACACCATGTCATATTCTGACTACGTCCATTTTCTTAACCAGTCACAGCGTACACAAATAATGCATCATGTACGATTCACTGGGATGACATTCGTAGCACATGTTCAAACGACCGATGTTGGTGTTTCAAGGTGGTTACACCAACTGAATTATCGTCAACGCGCTTGAACACACGTTGCTGAACCTCTGGGTTAGTAACTTGGTGTCAGCAATCTTCCGAGGCAACGGTTATCAGACAGAGTTGTTTAGCATCCCCAGATCGGTGAAGCCAGGTTTCACAGTATTTCGTCGTTCTCGTATTTGCTAGTCATAAAATGACCATTTATTTGCACGGAGAATTATTAGCATCAATAACTAATCGGATACTTCTGGTGGCTTGATGCGATTTTTGTGTCGGTTAGATGAAATGGTTTTCGAAATCTTATGCACACTGGTAAACTGGTCCATTTAAACCAAAGGATCGCGAATGGTGATGAAATGTAGTGTATTCATTACGGAAGAAGTTAGACCTAACTATTTCGATCTGTCGAAATAATTAAAAATGAGTAAACTAAGAATAAATTTAAACACTTAAATCAATGTGACCATTATAGTTTGCTGTCTGATTCAGTCACACTCGGTTATTCAAGCCAGATGGAGAAGACAAAAACTACTGAAGAAAGATGTATTTCTGAATTAGAGTACTCACTCGTACTTATAGGTGATCATCTCACTCGGATGACTACAACTAAGTTGCTAACTTAGATAAGTGAATGGTTAATTCGCATACGATGCATCTTACCTACCTTGGTCCTTTAAATACCGTGTGAACTATCAGTAATTCTATGGAAGTGTTTGAAGAAGAGTAAGGAACTGAACTTATTAGTTACATGAAAATCCCATAGTTCATTTGAAAATTATTTCAGCTCCAAAATCAAATTAAAAGATCATGTTCAATAAGTAACTCAATATAGTGCCTAGCTTATGTGGTATAAATCAGACTTTAAGAATCACATAAGCCTTGGGTGAATTGATTATACAACAACAGTGTTCCTAACATATGTATGCAGTAAGATTAGATTGGCTGATCCTTCTTAGAACACCTCTTACTAACTCCATAAATGGGTAGTTTGTTGTGACCTTTGGAAATCTAGAAAAAAATCAGTAGAAGGCAAATTAACTATTGAGTTGAAAGTATGATCCATCGTACTTTTTATGAGTTCTAGAAGGAAGACAGATCCGTTAAGTTACAGGAGTTACAATTCAAATATGATTTTTAGAACATTCTTAGTGGCATCACTAGCCGCTGACATGCCTTCAATGACATAAAAAAACTTTGAATGTATAATAACTTATTATAAGCCCTATAATTCAAACTTTCCAGATAATGAGTTCAAAAATAGTTTACGTTACTTCAGCATTGTTCGCAATGATCTTCCCCACTACCTGTATTTTTATACACTGCAGCATGCTACTTACTAATGGTAAGTAGTTTGACATATCAAGGCATTTCTCTATCCTTCATGTAAAAGTGTATAGTATTACTTCTTAGAAAACAATTTTTTATTAAAATTAATATGATTTACATATTAATATCGGCAGTTATTTAGTGTGTCCAAATATAGTTTTAATCTACCATTCAACATGAACTTGACAAGGAAAGATAACTAAGTATAGGTTCGTATGAAGAATCCATCACAACTCTCCCTTATACATTATTCTGATCAACTTCGTCTTCTCATTGCATTATCGCAGTGTTAGACCACCATTGAAAGCTTGGAATCACTGGACGGCCGCTTCGTCCTAGTAAAGAATTCCTCAGGAGTGAAAATCCATGACCACAGACGCAGAACTTTGACCCATGATTGGTCTAGCGCAAGCACTTAACCTCAAAACTACTGAACTGACATCCAACGGCGTTAAAGTCTAACATCAACCAATCCATAATGTTGCGCGACCACCTCCCATTGTCTTTGGCGAGTAATTTCCTCACATCCGACACAGGTTATCTACATTGGTCATGGCTTCTCGCTAGAACTCTGAAAATTAACTTTCGAAGCTATTCATTACTGAGCAGGTGATAATTTTCTGTATGAGGTTGTGGATCCGAGTTCCTCATGCGAGGTCGTGGATGGACACTATTTAGGCGTCCAGTACTAGAACGAAGCGGCCATCCGATGCTTCTAGGTTTTCAATGGTCGTCTAACACTGATCGATTCATGATTCCAATGAAACTTAACAATCTTCACAACCCCGTACTGACTATTTTTTGTTATTATTTTACATGTATGGAATCAACCATGCCTAGTAATGTGACATGAAATGATATATTTACTTCATTCTGAAGTACTTTCCCTTTTAGGTTATATATATGAAAAAGTCTGTCAGTCTATCTAACCTCAATTATTTTAGATTCCAGTTAATTCAGTACATTTCCGAGACTGTTTGATTTCATATACAAACTCGATAAGCAAGATACGTTTCAGATACACTGTAATGAGCAAACTAGATGTATTAAATCTTTAAAGAAAATTGTGGGAACTATTTTTGTGTTGAATTATATCCCGTATTAATTGGTGTACAGGTCAATCGTTGCGCTACGTATATTCAATCAATCTTCATGTGAACCTGTAAATAGATTAGTCTAAAGAAAGAGAAATTTGAAGTCATACAGTTGTATATTTTTGTGTATATGTATTATATTGTTTGTTTATAAGCTACTCAGAAGCCCTTACAATACTTTATAGATTTACATAGGTAATATCGCATAAAAATGATGTTTTTTGTCATTTAGAATTACACTACTCGTCAGTAGTATCGTTGGATCAAGTAACATTTTTTCCACTAAGCCACCACTAGCAACTCAACGAAGATAGATTTTTCAATAGCTGAAATCGTGAGTAAGTTGTCGCTAGACCACCATGGAAAACCTGCAAGCGCTTAACGGCGGTTTCATCCTATTGTGAGACTCCTCAACAGTGCGCATCCAATAGACGAAACGGCCGTCCATTTCTTCCAGGTTTTCCATGGTGGTCTAGCTTCAATAGACTCATGATCTCGACTACTGAAATTACTACAATCTCCACAAAACCCATTCTGAAGATAGATGTTGTGAATGTGAATATAACAGTAAAATCTCAAGGAGGATCTTACTTTGTTATTAACAGAGCAAACTATTATGAAGCTTTCTTTACTGTTCTATACACTATCTTCAATGTCTATTCTTAAAACTAGTGGGATTTTTTTTAAGTCGCTTAGTTTTGAAG